TCCCTAGGTTGGCACGCTAAACCCTATTTTATAAGCCTGTATTTTTTCTTGTGCTGATCATTTTGCCAGAAAAACCTTGATCTATAATATTCTATTTTCTTGAGAACCCCTTGAGGTACCTCGAAGAAAGAGAACATATACATCGGTAATATGGGCAACACTGAATTGATTAGCACAAGCCTGCCACCGACCGATAGAAACTTACTCTTCCGGCTACAAAGTTTTTTTTTCAATTCTTTCTTCAATAATCCTCCGGTTTTTGTTATTTAATTTTCTAAAATGCATAGGTATTCCCGGATATCGAAAGGGATATGATCCTACTTTACAGCCAAAGAGTTGTGAATATTGATATTCACATTCTTTTGCTTGCTCAAAGCAGAAGATCTCACTCTTATGGAAGTTTATTTTTAGACCCAATAATTGTTCAAAAGTACAAAGGAGCAACTTCATATTTTTTGCTTGTTCAATATCATGGTCCATAAAAATAATTGTATCATCTGCATATTGCAAGATTGATAGACCATCTTCTAAGAGGTGAGGCACTATCCCTTTTATCTGATCATCCTCTTTGGCTCTCGCAATAATGATCGCTAACATGTTCGCCACTATATTAAATAGTATGGGGGATAATGGATCACCTTGTCTAAGCCCTTTCCTAGTTTGAAAGTATGGTCCTAGCTAGTCGTTAACTTTTATACCAACATTCCCTCCTTGTACAAAAGCTCGTACCCAGTTGCACCAAATTGGGGAAAACCCTTTCATTCTAAGAGCTTGTTGCAAAAAGTCCCATTTCACGTTATCATATGCCTTTTCAAAGTCAATTTTAAATATACCCCATTAAATTTCTTTCTATGCAACTCATGGATCGTTTCATGCAGAACTATATCTCCCTCCATGATATTCCTGCTAGGGAGGAAAGCCGTTTGTGTAGGTCTAACCACTTTTTGTGCGACTTTCACAATTCTGTTGGTGGCTACCTTGGTGAAGATTTTGAAACTTACATTTAATAGACAGATTGTCCTATACTGTTGTATTTATTTCACTTCACTAGATTTTGGAAGAAGAATAACTGTGCCAAAATTCAGACTATGTAGAGGTAAAATGCCCCTATGGAAGTCCTCAAACAGAGCCATCAAGTCTCTTTTAATTACATTCCCGAAGGCTTGATAAAACTCTAGCGGGAACCCATCAGGTCCTGGGCAGTATCGTTTTTCATTTGAAAAACCGCCTCTTTTACTTCTATTTCGGAAAAGCTTTGTGTCAGTGTCTCATTTTCCAGTTCTGAAACTTGAGGAATATCTTCTCTTCGCGATTCGTCCATCGACAACAAAGAGATGTCCGGTGGACCAAAGAGGCTTTTATAGTATTTGGTGATATACTTTTTTAGTTCCGCGTCACCACACACTATCCCTTCCTCCTGTTCTAGCTGGAAAATACGAGTTTTCCTATGTTTCCCATTTGCTACTAAATGAAAATATTTTGTATTTGCATCCCCCTCTAGCAGGTTCTTTACTTTTGCTCGTTGGTACCATTTAACCTCCTCCTCTATGAGAAGATTGGCTAATCTCTCATTGAGGACATGTTTCAAATTCAGCTCATCCATTGTTAGTTGAACGTGTTCGGCTTTCTTATCAAGTTCATCTAACTTGCTCAACAAATTTTTCTTCTCCTTTTTGCACGCTGACATTTTTGGCCCAACCCCTTAGATATTGGCGAAGTCGTCTTATTTTTGCTTGCCATATCTCTAATGGAGTATGACCTTCATTAACATTTGACCAGATTTCACTCACCATCTCGTGGAACCCATTCCTTAATAACCAGCCAAGCTCAAATTTGAACATATGCGAGTTATTTGGCAACGCTCCTTCTCCTGTGTTTAAAAGGAGAGGTGTGTGATTTGAAATCTCTCTAGTTAAAGCTTGTACAGTGATTTTAGGGAATTGCAATTCCCAATCTGTGCTGACTAAAATTTTATCAAGCTTCTCAAAAGATAGGATTTGTAGGTTATTAGCCCAAGTAAACTGTCTACCTGACGGATCCAATTCCCTAAGGTTGAATCCATCGATAATTTCATTAAAAAGAAAAGGCCATCTATCATTGTATCTTGAGCTATTTTTCTCAGATGGCCCTCTTATGATATTGAAATCACCACCTATAACAATAGGTAAGGTTTCTTTCACACATAAGTGAGACAACTCCGATAAGAAAGCCTCTTTTAATTCTTGTTGTGCAGCACCGTAAACTGAAACTAATAACCATTTGAAATCTGTGTCTCTATTGTGAATCTTGAATTTTATATAGAACTCCCCTTCCTCTATCTCACCAATGTCAAAAGTTTGTAGGTTAATGCCTAGAAGCATGCCACCAGATCATCCTTGAGGGGGTTTATAATGCCACAGAAACTAACTTCTTAGGGTCACCCAAACCGTTACAATTCCAAAAAATACCTTTCATTTGGAAATTCGTTTAGATTTGTTGGATCCATCCTTTGTTTTCTTCTTCTTTCTTGAACTAGACCTGCTCTTCGTAGAGACACATGTAGATCATATTGATCACTGCCTTCTCCCTCCGACAGGCCCTCAACTATTTCCCCACACAAGTGATTCAAAGCAATGAGGTCTATTTCCTCTTCCATAATCTCAACGTTATATAATATTTGTTATTATATATGAATTAGCATGCTTTATAGTTTGTCACTTGTGAGGTGTCAAGACCATTATTGTCTTTACTGCTGCAACTCCTATTACATATGCAGGCTGTTGTACAGTAACATTTATTTGGATTCCTGAACTTCAGAATTTAACTCTAAATGTGTTCTAACAATCTTCTCGAAATTTCACTATTATCATTGAAGTTTTCAAGTTCAACCATCTAGCAAGTTATGTACTATACAAGTACTCATATATATGAAGGTTGCACCTCAAATTAGTCAATGACGCAGGACCTAAAATTGTTGTTGCGTTCCAACCTATTACAAGCATATAGATATATTATAACGACTCTTTCCGGTGATGCTTTCCAACAACTCCTCAGCTCGCAGTCCAATTCCTTTCTGTCGCTTCCTGCTTGTGATCTTCCGGAGATCATGTCAAGGTCGTCGTCGTCGTCGTCGTCGTCTGATTCATACTAACAAGTAACCCCTTTTTTGTTAGTCCCGCTGACGCGTATCTTTTTGTGGTTACATCAGCCATTAGGTGTCCCAAACAAGGGACATAAACCCTAATTTATTGGCCGGCCAATTAGATTAACGTGACAAAAGTGCCGTCGTGTCGTGTTGCGTCATTTCATTGGATCTAAGCAATTGACCCCTCCTAAGTGCTTAGTACTAGTATATAGTGTAGGAGACGTCTCTTGTTGGACCGAGTCAATGTGTCATCACAGAAACAACATGAGTGACGTTACATGCCGTGTTTTTTTTTCCAGTGTCATTCATGACTAGACCTGAGTCGCGCTAAAAAAAGTATATGAGAGGCTTGAAAAGCTCGTCCTAATTGGACTCAATAATTCATCGAAAAGTTCTGAATGTTCTCCCTGCTGATTCTTGGAAGAAAAGATTAGGAAGCCGGAGCGTTTCTATATACACCTCACGCGCTAAGAATAGTTCTATATACTCACGATCGTGCGTCTGACGTAACCACCCGCCTTACCAGAATTTGTCTACTCATTTTGTATTTTATTAGGGCCAAAGGAGCCTTACCAAACATTCTGTGGGTGAGCCTTTTTCAGTAAAGAAAACAGAGGAGATGAAGCTATTTTTCTCCGGAGGAGCCCGTCAAGAAGGCCCCGTCAAACACGGACCAAGCCACCAAGGCCGTGGTATTATGCTATTTTTACCTGTAGTTTTGTAAATATCCACATCTTGTGGTGTCCAATTTAAGCGAAACAAGATCCAATTGTTAGCTCTAACTCCACGGTCCTGCAGGTACCGGACATTGAAAAGAATTGAAACGTACTACGTAGTAGTACAAAAAGTCCAAACATGCCAATACAAACAGTTGTAGCACACACAATCAATAGTCCCAGAAACGCATTCATACTGGCATACCAACCGACCGATCTGAAGCTGCAATTCAATTGACCGTTTAGTTCAGAATCGGCGCCGCCGTAGTTGCAATTTCAATTAATTAGACTCAAAACGGATTCGTAAAAAATCCAGTGCAATTAGTTTTTTATTTCCAATCCATACTAAAAGTTTGATGTGACGGGGAATCTTTTTTTTGCATAGTGCTAAAGTTTGGATTTGAGGTGAACTAAACAGGGCCTGGGATTCAATCCAGTGCAATCCCAATCCCTAAATTTGCCGGCATTCAAGCTGCCGTCAGGGCTGTACCAGTACCAGCAGGCACAATCTGCGCAAAACAGACAGCGGATCCGCCACCTTTACCATTCTCCTTTTGATCTCATCTCATCTCAGTGCCCAGGTCCCAGCCAGGATGCTCAATGATGAGCACGTGGGGAAACGAGTGAGCAGAGCAGCAGCTGAAAAGGTGACACTCTGACACGGCACAGAATCTATTCATGGATGAGCAGCAGCCGCAGCAGCCGCAGCTGCGGCCATGTCGTACAGAGACGCAGCAGGGGATGACGACGACGAGGCGAATCTGCCGCACGGAGCACATGGTCCTAGATTGAGCGAGACCGCTCATTCATGGTGCATCATCATGCGCAGCAGAGACAGGAGTAGCTCACGATAGCAAAATCCTCGGTCTGCTCTTTTATTTTCCCCCCCTCTCATCAATCAGGGTTGTCCTCGCGGTTCAGGGCAAACAAATCACTCGAGCAAACCAATCAGATGTGATCCACAGGGCAGCACTATACAACCCAACAGCTCAAATCACAACCTGTTTTGCTTCAAGATCTTAAGATATATAATGTCAATCCCAGCTCAAATTTCAAAACTGGACTAACACCACCTTGTACTGCTAAGGATAACACAACAGGTTGCCTGTTGGCATAACAGCCAGCACATGTCGTGTGCCCATTTAGATATAACAGAGGAGCTATTCAGAGTCAGATGAGTTGCCGGTGTCTGATTGCCGAACGCTTCGTTTGGTGGCGGCAGCCTGCTTTGTAGACCCTTCTCCATCGAGGAAGATAACTTGGGATTTCGCGAGGCGTTCTTCCAGATCCTCGGTGCTGAAGTCGTCTTTGCCGCCAAGCTCATCAAAGCCAACCTTGCAATTACCACAACAAAATATATGACTATTGTTAAATTAAATACAAAGCTAAGGAATCACTAACAAGAGTGTTCACTTACCACATAATCCTCAACCTTCGCATTCTTAACTATAGCAAGAGTGGGAAGGACAACTATCCTGAGCTTTTCTGTCAAGAAGGGAGCCTTCTCCGCATGAACTTTCACAAACCGTGTTTCAACATGCTGTTTTGCAAGAATCGACAAGTGTTTATCCACAACCTGCAGGTCAAGAGAGCAACATGATAAAATGATAATGAAGAGCACAAGATGGCAAGATTGAACACAATGCAACTGATACCATCAGTTCTAGTGACCAACACAATGAACGGATCATAACTGTAATAATAGGAAGAGGAAGAACATCAGCTTTGAGATTATACGAAAAGAAGAATTGAAAATTCAAAGACGAATGTAGTCGAATCTTGCAAGGCATCCCAACCATTGCAGTTTGCACCATTTGTTGTGAGACAGCCCAAACATTGCAGTCTGCCCCATTTGTTGTGAGGTTATGGGCTTAAGGTGTTGTAGAGCAGCTGCTACGCTCGATAAGCCTCGCCACCCTGGTGCTAGGATTATAGAACTGAGAGAGAGGTTAAGATATCAACTTTTGCTTCCTTAATCATGAATGCTGACTCCCATATAAATTCAAAGATGAATGTATTCGAATCTTGCAAGGCATCCCAACCATTGCAATTTGCACCATTTGTTGTGAGATAGACCAAACATTGCAGTCTGCCCACTTGTTGAGGTTATGGACTTAAGATGTTGTAGAGCAGCTGCTATGCTCGATAAGCCTCACCTCCCTGGTGCTAGGATTATAGAACTGAGAGAGGTTAAGATATCAACTTTTGAGAGAGGTTAAGATATCAACTTTTGCTTCCTTATTCATGAATACCCCAACTTGTTTGGGACTTGAAGGCTTTGTTGTTGTTGTTGTTGTTGTATTCATGAATATCCACTCCCATATATAGAGGACAATGGAAGTATGGAACAAGTTAATCTTCATCCTAAGTTCCTAACAAACCAATCTTAATACAAACAAGCCCTGAACTAACACCTAACAAACCTAATAGGATGCACTAATCCTCTTATCATGCTGTGCTGGCCATCTTGCGTCGGTTGTAGGCCTGGCACCACGTAACACCACTCCATAAGACAGATCGAAACTATGGTGGATGAAAAGATTGGAAGTGTAACATTAATTGACCACAACCCTAGAAAACCTTTCTAGATACTGTCCTAGAAAGGAATGATGTGGAAGAACCACATGAGATCATTTGGTTGCATCCACAACTGGCAATGCACTGTTGCAAACAAGCACAAGCAATTGGTTACACAACAGATGCATACTGCAAGGTCAATTGGAAGTGGTCATGGAAGATGGGATGCACTACGAGCACATGACTGGATTATATAGAGGCTATATGCAAGGAATACAAAGATGACTGGTAGGAATTCCAAGATGTTTTAATTCATGCAAATCAAACATTTTCCCCCTCATTCTGAAATCAGGGGTCACAAGTGCAACCAAACCTTAGGAGTCCAACAGAGGCTAGATCGCCTCCTTCAATCACTGAAAGGCTCTATGTCCGTGCAATGAACTAATGGAACACATCTACTGATTGCTACCAGCAAAGCTTAGATAAGCTACAGCTAACACATTATTCCAACATGCACTCCAACTCATTATCATAAATCTCACCTCCTTCGATCACTGAAATGTTCTATGTCCACGCAATGAACTAATTAGCACATCTACTGATTGCTACCAGCAAAGCTTAGATAGATACAGATAACACATTATTCCAACATGCACTGCAACTCATTATCATAAATCTCAGAAGCCTAGAACCTTAACTAAGGCGTTGCAGGTTCATTTGTCTGAACTATTGGTGTTTTTAAGGGGCTAACAATGAACATTTCCTGTGCCAACAATTGGAATTGTCTAGAGCTGTCTCTACCAAAAAGGGATGAACTAGGGGAGGCCAAAAGAATCGGCGTTGAGAAAAACTGGCCTGGTAAACCAAACAAAGCACAGAATTAACTTTCCATAGACTAGAAGCTAGCTCTTTTTTATTGATAGGGTGCCCTTAGGGTTTGATTCATGTTTTAAATTCCGAAAGATGAATGGTTTTATCCTGATTTATGCATTTCAGAATAATTCAGGCTTGTTCATCTTCCTGAGCATTTTTGTCATTCAAAGATATGGTAACCAAAGTACCGAACAACGTTCTTAGAAAAAACATGCATTATCCTTCAGTAGAGCAAAGCAAGGACACAGGGCTCGAAGCACTTCCTGACCACAGATAGATACCATGTTACCATTCATTTGTCATTATTTGAATCTATCTCCGAGGAAGAGTGTCTGTTAAAGTTAACAAAAGATTTCAGAGGTATATTACCTCTACAAGAGCTTCTACACAAATAGAAACAAATTTGACTACCTCAACACTCTGTGAAGGAAAAGGTTCAGGAAGCTTATGATGCTTGGAACGAACTCACACTCGTATTTGCTCATTTTCCACATGAATTCCTAAGTTGTTCTTCAGCTAAGCAGTGATGATGTCCATGTAGGTCACCAATTGTATCCCAAAGAAGATACTTGGCTTGAAGTCCCTAGATGAACTTTTCCTAGGCCAAAGGGAATTCAAGGTGCCACCTTAAGTGTTTGGGTGCTCAGGGTCACCAACTATCAGTTGGCAAATTGAGCCCTCAATGCCACTCTTAGTAAATGAGGTGTAGTATTATTGGCTATGGATCAGATCAAAAGGGTTACATATGAAAATGTGAGAATGAATTGAGTTTGAGCACTTAAGAATGTGAAGTTTGTACTCTCATGACACCAAGAGTGAAAATTGAGGCGAATGAACACAATTGAAGTTTGTACGGGGGAAGAAGCGGTTGTAGGACAAGCTTCGTGTAGTGGGAGGCTGAAATATAAGGAGTGGAAGCACAAGCACCCTATTCAACCCTCATACTCTCCCACAGAGTCCACCTCATTTCTCTGTCTTCTTACTCATTTTTCCAGTGATGATGTCCCTACACCATCCTCATCCATTATGCCCATTCCCGATCAACATGTGTCCATCACACCTACTGTGTTGTCTCCACATGAGACTCCTGCTCCTGCTCCTGCACCCCCACCCCCACCTCCGCCACCTAAACCTCGGGGTCGCACTACTACTAGTCCTGCTGACAAGTATGGTTTTCCATGCATGAATGTTGTTGCTGAGCCATCCACGTATCACAAAACTTCTATCATTCCTGAATGGCAGCTTTCGATGTCTGAGGAGCTTGCTGCCCTTGATCGGACATGCACTTGGGATCTTGTTCTATTACCATCACATGCCATGCCTATAACATCTAAATGAGTATTCAAAAGACCAGGTCTGATGGTTCTATTGAGCGATATAAAGCTAGGCTTGTTGCTATAGGTTTTCAACAGACTCATGCTTGTGATTATAATGAGACATTTGCATCGGTTGCTTATATGACTACCGTCCATACTCTGATTGCAAAGGCTGCTACTTCAACATGGGATATGTCTGTCGTTGCTTTATATGATGATTTGAATGAAGAGGTAGCCACCCCTAGGTGTTGATGCTCCCTTGGGATATTTCTGTCGTCTTCACCGTGCTTTAAATAGTCTTAAATAGGCTCCTCGTCCTTAGTTGCTGTGACACGGGCTGCTGGTTTTTCACCTAGTGCTAATGATCCCGCTCTATTTATTCACCTTTCTCCACGTGATGTACTTTGCTTCTTTTATATGTTGATTACGAGTGACGATGTGGAAAACATTTCTCATGTCAAGCAGCAGCTTGGTGAGCAATTTCAGATTTATGATGATTTGGGTCCTCTCAGTTATTTCTTAGGGATTGAGCTTTCCCATTCTGCATAGGAATATTATCTCTCTCAGTCCAAATACATAAAGGACCCTATTGCTCGTTCAGGCATTACTAATAATCGCATGGCTGCTCTACTTGCAGCTTTGTGCTACTGATGGTACACCTCTTGAGGATCCTTCTCGATATACGCATATTGTGGGCAGCCATGTTTATCTCACTGTTACTAGACCTGATATTGCTCACGCAGTTCATATTTTATAAATCATTTTGTGAGTGCTCCTATTTATATTCATTTTGGTCATTTGCTTCGTGTGCTGAGATACTTGGGAACATCATCTCAATGCTTGTTCTATGCTTGTGATAGTCCGCTTCAACTTCATGCTTACTCAAACTCCACTTGGGCAAGTGCTCCTACGGATCACTGCTCTGTCACATGCTATTGCATTCTTCTTGGTTCTTCTCCTCTTGCATGGAAGTCCAAGAGACAAGCATTTGTATCTCACTCCAATACAGAGGCCGAACTTTGTGTACTTGCGACTACCACTATAGAGATTTATGGCTTTGATGGTTGCTTGCTGATTTTGGTATTTCATGTGATGTTCCCACACCTCTTCTACGTGATAATACTGGATCCATAAAGATTGCTAATGAAAAAATGAAACATCGGTGTTGCCTTCTTTACTCGTTCCCACTATCATAAAAAAACAATTGCTCTTCAGTATGTGTCCTCAGAGTTGCAAGTGGCAGACTTTCGCTAAAGCACAAACATGAGAGCAGCATCGGCTTCATTTGCTCAACTCAATGCTTCAAATCCTTTGCTTCCACCTTGATTTTGAAGGGGGTGTTAAGTATATATCAAGGACCATATGGCACACATGAGGCTCCCTATATAATGTCATCTCCACTAATGTAGTGAAATCTTCAAGGTTAATAACAGTTGAGACAGCATGGGGAAAGGAAGCATGGGCATGGAAATTGTCCACCTAATCGTGTCATTTGTGGCCACTGGCCTCCTTTTTCCGCCATAAGCGGCCAAGGATCAGCTCCAAACAGGGCCTAAAGCTTTTGCAATTTGAGGAACAGTATTGCAAAATTTATGTCAATTACTGTTGTATTTCATCTGTACATAAAGTATTTACTGCACCCCTACAGAGTGTCTACTGACATTTGTCAAGGATTAGCAAGCTGCTTCACAGGATCCCAAGTGGAAAGACGCCAAGGATCTTTGCGCGCTAGCAAAGAACAAGAAATCAAAATCTAATTACCTTTAACACGCAAGATATATGGTGCAAACAGGTGCTTACTGTGAATCTAACTCAAGAAGACAGTATCAGTTGCAAATCTAACAGGAAAGACAGCAATATGGTGCAAATGGGTGTTTAATTTGAACCTAACCAAAAAAAGCAAGGTTGGCTGCAAAAGGTTTTAATATAATTTAATATAATCAGTACCAAAGATGGGCACGATGAGGAGTTGAGAACACTGATTTCTTTTATCTCACCTTTGAATGGCCTCTTCGTCACTTGCAACAACAACAACATAGCCTTTCAGTCCCAAGCAAGTTGGGGTAGGCTAGAGTTGAAACCCACCAAGAGCTCCAAGTCACGGTTCAGGCACTTCAATAGCTGCTTTCCAAGTACTCTTATTCAAACATAGATCTCTAGATATATCCCAAGCTTTCAAATATCTTTTTATTGCCTCCCCCCGTGTCAATTTCGGTCTTCCTCTACCTCTCTTCATATTATTAGCTTGGCTTAGGACTCCACAATGCACTGGTGCCTCTGGAGGTCTCCTTTGGACATGGCCAAACCACCTCAACCGATGTTGGACAAGCTTTTCTTCAATTGGTGCTACCTCTAGGCAATCACGTATATCATCGTTCCGAACTCGGTCCATTCTTGTGTGACCGCAAATCCATCGCAACATACGCATTTCTACAACACTCAGTTGTTGAACATGTCGAATCTTTGTAGACCAACATTCTGCTCCATACAACATAGCTGGTCTAATCGCCGTTCTATAGAACTTGCCTTTTAGCTTTTGTGATACCCTCTTATCACAGAGAATGCCAGAAGCTTGTCGCCACTTGATCCACCCTGCTTTGATTCTATGGCTAATGTACGCATCAATATCTCCATCCCTCTGTAGCATCGATCCCAGATACCGAAAGGTATCCTTCTTAGGCACTACTTGACCTTCCAAACTCACATCTCCCTCCTCTGTACAACTCCGCCAAAGTCGCATCTCATGTATTCGGTTTTAGTTCTGCTCAATCTAAAACCTTTAGACTCAAGGGTCTGCCGCCATAACTCTAGTTTCCTATTTACTCCCGCCTGGCTTTCGTCCACTAACACTATATCATCAGCGAACAACATACACCAAGGGATATCCCCTTGTATGTTCCTGGTAACCTCACCCATTACCAAGGCAAAGAGATACGGGCTTAAGGCTGACCCTTGATGAAGTCCAATTTTAATCGGAAAGTAATATGTGTTACCATCGTTTGTTCGAACACTAGTCACAACATTGTTGTACATGTCCTTAATAAGGGTCACGTACTTTGATGGGACTTTATGTTTGTCCAAAGACCACCACATAACATTTCTTGGTATCTTGTCATAAACCTTCTCCAAGTCAATGAAAACCAAGTGGAGGTCATTCTTCTGCTCTCTAAACCGCTCCATAGCCTGTCTTATTAAGAAGATTGCTTCTGTGGTTGACCTTCCGGGCATGAAACCAAATTGGTTTGTTGATATCTGTGTCGTTCCTCGCAGATGCTGCTCGATGACTCTCTCCCATAACTTCATAGTGTGGCTCATCAACTTAACCCCGATAATTAGTACAACTTTGGACATCTCCCTTGTTCTTGTAGATTAGTACCAATATGCTTCTTCTCCACTCCTCAGGCATCTTGTTCGATCGAAAGATATTGTTGAGCATCTTGGTTAGCCATACTATAGCTATATCTCCGAGACATCTCCACACCTTGATTGCCATCAGGGCCCATCGCTTTGCCCCCTTTCATCCTTTTCAAGGCTTCTCTGACCTACGATTCTTGAATCCTCCGCACAAAGCGCCTGTTAGTGTCATCAAATGAGTCATCCAGCTGAACGGTGGTGTTCTCGTCCTCACCATCGAACAATTTATCAAAATACTCTTGTCATCTATGTCTGATCTCATCCTCCTTCACCAAGAGCTGCTCCCTCTCATCCTTTATACACTTGACTTGGTTGAAGTCCCTTATCTTCCTATCGCGAGCCCTAGCCATCCTATAAATGTCCTTCTCTCCTTCCTTCGTACTCAAACGTTGGTAAAGGTCCTCTTCGTCACTTGAATGCAAAGAATATTTTCTTCCACGGTGGGAAGAGATTTTTCTTGATATCCCATCGAGATGTGGAAATAAAGGAATAATTATGAAGGTTGCAAAATCAGAAGGTCAATCTATGGCCGAAACCAGTCTCCGAGAGCATGGTGCAACGGATCCAAGAGTATGATCTGTAATTCTGTCGTTACAAGTTACTGTTAATACTAATAATAGTAGACATTACTATTTCAAAAGGAAATATTTGCAGAATATTTTGGTTTTAGTCCTTGAATGGCTTCCGCTGCCTCACGCCTCACTAACTGCTTCAACAGCTAACAAAAGATAGAAATTTGGTCCCAAACTTGGTTAAGTTCATTATGTCACCATCCACCACTTGAGGTTTAAGTTCAAACAAGGACCAATAGCTAGTATAGTTGCAACGTTTATTGAAAAGGGAAAATTTCCAAGTCACATCCCCTGAATTTCAACATTTATCTACTTTACACCGTTAACTACAATAATTCTACATTTCAATCCCTAACTCTCAAAACTATATTCTTATACCCCCCTCCCAAACCCTAAAGCAACCACATTTTTTTGCTGATTTGATGACGGTTTTTAACATGCAAATAGAGCAATACGACTGATTTGGCAACAAATAAAACCACAAAACACATGATACTGCATCGGTAGGAGCAACACTAAGGGCTTGTTTGGATGCACTCGTATTCACATCAATACATGTGTGTTGGGGTGGAAATTAGTTAATTTTCCACCCCAATACATGTGGATTGAGATAGTTACAAGTGCATCCAAAGAAGGCCTAAGTGTGCGTCCTAGTGGTTTCCTACGGAGTAAAGTAAAATGTTTTGATAGTTGAGGCTTGTCAATTAGACTGTTTCATAGTTCACGGTGTAAATTAAAAGTTCATGGGATGTAAAATGGACTTTTCCTTAAAAAAATTTAAATACACAAGCAGAACTGGGTATCTTTGTTTTCAAGGAGAATTTGGGATCGACTTATGGCCTCATCTACCACAGCCTCATACTCTCCTGCTAGGTAAACCTCCCCCCCCTCCCTTTCCCCCCTCTTGTAAGAGGTAACCACCTGAAAATCTAAACATGTAGCTCTAGTATGCTCATCTATGTTTGTTTTGGCCCCTTTGCCCCCAAAAAACACACAAATAAGATGTGGGTAAACCTTTCGATTATTGCTACCTTGGAAGTATCAACCAATAGGAACATAGGCAACCAATAAGAACATAGGCAAGGTCCATATGAGTTAGTGAGGGGAACAATTGTCAATGGCTGGGAAATCAGCACTCCATATGCTGGTGGAACATCAGCAGATCAGCCACAAACAGCATTGCAGTGGTACCCTAGTCTTTTGGGAATGTTACTTAAGTGGTCCATACTGCCATGGTGGACAATGAGCAGTGTTTTAAAGGCGTCGCCTAGGCGTCCAGGCATACCCAGCTCGCCTTGGGAAACAGTGTGCCTCGTCGCCTAGGCATCCAGGCAACCCAGCACTCGCCTGGACGCCTAGTCGCCTTTAAAACACTGAGAATGAAGCAGGAGATCAAATGAAATTTATCTAGAACAACAATGTAGCCCATATTGTTAAATCTTCACAGCTTAGTTTTCTGGTATTTCACTGAACGTCTGCATTCGAGTAACATAATGGGACTTTTAACAAATAATCCAACATATGTGTACAACAAAGCCTCCAATGCGTCAATAAATGAAGTTGATCAACACAATGCGATGTACGAACCTCTCCCAGACAAGATCAGGGTCATTCATGTAAGTAAACGTGGAAATAGGAAAGCAATACCCAAATACTCTGTAACAAGTATGGTGTGGTGCTCTAGGGTATCCCATGTATGATTGTACTAAAATAAAATAACTATTGTACTATTTCACTCTAAACTGATTCTCTGGCTCTGCCACTGAACTGATTGAAAACATAATGGCGAAATGTATATGAACTGCAAAGAATGTGCCTACGTTCCATTTCACTCTAGGGGCAGAGCAATCTAAGCGGACTGTTAACATATTTCGGATACAACAGAAATTTCAGCAGTCCAGCGCATGCGAGCCAAAGGGAACGATACTAGGACCAGTATGAAAAGAATCTTATCTTGATAAAAAAGGGTACGAACAGCAAAATAAACACCATTCCTAATAAAAGCCAATTTACCACGAGATCTGCATCTAACTGCGCCAATCATACCACAACAGTGAGAATGGGAGAGCAGCAGCACCTTGCAGGGCCAGTTGTCGCGGTAGAAGTGGCAGACGAGCCGCTCGCTGGCCTTGGCGGCGGAGAAGAACTCCTTCTCGGGGACCTCGGTGTACTCCCCGTGCCCCAGCGCGCGCCACTTGGCGCGGCGCTCGGCGGCGTGGCGCATCTGCTGGATCCGGCGCTCGCGGAGCGCCTCGATGTCGTCCGGATCGAGGCGGTCGAGCGCGGCGATCTCCTCATCGAGCTTGTCCTCCACCGCCTTCGCGGCCGACAGCACTTGCTTCTCCAAAATCTGCAGCCACCAAAAGCAGCACGCCTCCCGCGCTCAGAGAGAGCAAGGACAGAGAGGGGGCGGGTTGAGGAGAGGTGGGCAGATGACTACCTGGCTAACGACTTCGTCCATGGCCGCGGCGGCGACGGGTAGAGGGAGGGAAGGAGAGGAGGGGTGCCAGCGGCAGGCTGAGATCGGGATGGGAAGCGGAGGCCGGAGAGTGGAGAGGAGCGGCGAAGGGCGGAGGCGGTTGCTTTGTCTGGGCGATGGGACCTACAATTTTTTTTCCTTGAAATTTTATCAAACCCAAATTATTCCTTTGGTCCTCAAATACAGGATATGGATTTATCTGATATAATAAATACAAAATTATAAAGTATTCTGAATTAATCAACCTCATCTGTGTGCCTATCATAAAATTTCTCTTTAGATAAACTGACGTTTGTTTGTCTATCTCCTACGACTAAAAAGAACAAAGCGTTAATACTTTTTTGTGCGACAATTTAACTTCGCCTCGTCGTCCTGCCCTCCCCCATGCGACCAAATTTCGCGTCGTTGCTCGCCTCACCTGTCTGCCTGTGTGCCATCTTCACTCCATCACCCTGCTCAGGCGTCGCGCCTCCCCATCGCGCGAGATCCCGCATGGAATCGGTAAGCGCGACGATGAGATCTCTTCCCATCTCCCGCTCCTCGCAGCATGCGCTTCTCTCTCTCTCACCTGCCCTCATTGCTTTGCTCCATCACCGCCTTCGCCACGCCATCACACTCCATGGCCCCCCCCCCACAGGCGGCTAGGGTTTGTCGCGGTAGCTGGTAGCCACGCGCCGTCGACGCCGTGAAGCCTTTGCTCCGCCCCCACCGGCTCCGATTCGCGACGCGCGCTCCACTCCTCCCTTACCCGGCTCCGGTGGCCCGACCCTGTGCCGTGCTACCATAGGGGCACCAGCGAGGGCAAACCCTAGTGGCGCGGTTGAGGCCTCCGTCGCGACTAGGTCCTCCTCTACTCCTCTCTCCCCATACGTCGCGCGGAGGAGGTACACACGAGCCTCGATGTGTGGAGGCGCCGCGGAAGAGGCCAGATAGCCCAGCGTGCAACCCTGACAGTGCGTAGCGTCGGCGGCATAGGAACACGTGAAATGGCTCCTTTCCAACCGCCTTGCCCCCACAGTCCTCCCTGATGAGCACGCGCTCGCGGATTCTACCAAGCGCCGCCTCGTGCAGCCCCGACGCCAGCGCCTATACCGCAGGGATTGAGCTGGAGGTCTGGTGAGGTGCCGCACTGGGCTGTGGCTGCCGCGATGCTGCGCTTGGAGATGGTGGATGAATTTGGAGGAGTGGAGGTCAAAATCTCTATCTCAGCCTGATTTCTAATTTGGGAGTAGATGAATTTGCAGGCAGGTCTCCGGGGCATGCACCAGAGCCACCAAGAAGAGGGACCTCGAGATGCTTGGCATCAATGCTTCCGTTTTTTATGCCACAAAGAGCAGATGTGAATTCGTGCTGATTATCCTGCCTTATTTTCATTCTTACTTGTGTCTAGCTTGCTTTTTTTGTGCTTAAACATTGATGGTTCATCAGCCAGAAGTGTTTCTAAATAATGAATCAAATATAAGGGTAGAAACAACGTAAATCGTCAATTATTTGTTCAATTCACCTGTATGAACAAGTAAGCAGGTCGGAATCCCCTCCAATAGCCCACTAAGCGTTTCTGACTGATTATTCCCTTTATGATAGGAATCCCACGGGCATACTTACCTTTTTTTAATTTTGGGAGCAGCCGGTAGGATTTGCACTATAGCCGTTTAGACCATGTTAGCATGTGTCCAAACATTTTTAATACAACAAATACTCTTCTCTATTAAATGAATTTGTTGGAGGTACCACAGACTTGATTAGCCTGAACAGCCACACACCCCAGGCTGTCTCCTTGATTATATATAGAGATAGACATTGCATTGATTACAAACAGCTCACTAGAGCATAGCTAATCAGATAGGTGCCTTGGCAGCCGTACACACCCTTGGGCTGCCCAAGGTCTTTAATGATTGTAATTAACTAGCATAGTTATCTAGGAATTGCTTAGGAAGGGGGCTTATTAACTACATTTCTCCCCTAAGACTGCTTCAACTAATCTTGATCTCCTTGCGCTCCTCATCTCTTCCAGCTTGGTTTTGCCCAAGGCTTTAGTCAGTATATCAGCGAGCTGATCTGCAGTGGGAATGAACTCTGTCTTGATGCTACCTTCTTCCACACAATCTCTGATGAAATGATGCTTGATTCTAATATGCTTGCTCCTGTCATGGAAAACAGGATTCTTTGCCAAAGCCAGAGCAGACTTATTGTCTACTCTGAGTTCCACCACATCAACTTTTCTTCCCAACAATTCTGCAAACAGTCTTGACAACCACAAAGCTTGGGTTGCAGCTGTTGTCATCGCCACATATTCAGCCTCACGGCTAGACAGAGCAACAACTCTCTGTTTGACAGACTGTCAGCTGACCAGGCTGGTTCCAAGGAAGAACAAACATCCAGTTATGCTTTTGCTTGAATCAACATCTCCAGCCAAATCTGAATCAATGTAACCCACAAACCTTGCTTTGCCTGTTGTTCTGGTGTAGCAGAGCCCATGATCTAGAGTACCAGCTAGGTATCTCAAGATCCTCTTCATGACTGAAGATGTTCGGGGTTGTTGGCTTCTCCGAAATATGCTAACATACCCTACAAAGAAAAGCCAAATCTGGTCTTGTGTGCACTAGGTATCTCAAGGCGCCAACCAGGTCTTACATCTTGAGTTGGATTTACTTTCTTTCTTTGTGCTTTCCTTGCTCAATTTCAACCTTTCTTCCATGGGTGTGGTGGCTGGATTACAACACCGCCATACCACCCAGCTCAAATATCTTCTTTGCATAGTGGGTTTGCTTGAGTGATGCTCCCCTCGATTGTCTCACCTCAACTCCCGAGATAGAAAGACAGAAGACCCAAATCACTCATTTCAAAGGTTTGCTTCATCTTTGCCTTGAAAGCTTCAATCTTCATTGATTGACTCTGTGATGATCAAATCATCAACATAGACTCCAATTACCAGAGGGAGTCACCGATCCCTTCCCTGTACATAGCGACTTCATACACATTACTGCTCAAAACCCATTTGCTTGAGAGTCAAGTCAAGCTTGGCATTCCATGCCCGAGGAGCCTATCTTAGGCCATCTGAGCCTTGTGCAGCCTGTACACTTTCTTCTCCTCTCCTGATACTACAAAACCTGGAGGCTGTGTAACATAAACCTCCTCCTGAAGTTCTCCATTCAAAAATGCAGACTTCACATCCATGTGATGTACTGCCCATCCCTCTTGTGCTGCTAGGGCAAGCAAAACACACACTGATTCCATCCTTGCAACCAGTGCAAAAGCATCTTCATAATCAACTCCTTCCTGCTGCACAAAACCACGGGCCACAAGTCTTGCCTTGTGCCTAATTACAGCTCCATGTTCATCCTTCTTCAGCTTAAACACCCATTTCAGTGAAATTGGACGGTGACCAGGACGGGGAGAAACAAGTTCCCAAGTCCCATTCCGCTCTACTGATCTCAGCTCCTCCTTCATCGCTGCTTGCCAATCTGGATCATCTTTGGCTTCTTCATAGCTTGTAGGCTCACCAGAATGGGTGAGATTCAGTTCTGCAAACAGCCGCTGCACCGGCGGAGGGGTTGGTTGATCACCAATAATGTCATGAATCTTCCGATAGCGGAGTTCTTCATCGTCATGGTAGGCATCCACCCTTTCATCATCATCCTCCAGGGGGGTCACATGCTCAACCTGAGGACTTGCTGGAGCTGGTGTAGGTGTTCTGGGCGACGCAAGCGCCTCTGCCTCCGCTGTGGGCTCCTCTGTTTCCGCTGCAGGCTCTCCTGCATTCACCGGAGAGAAACCAGGCGATGCAGGATGTGGCGGAGGAGATAGTGAAGGTGACGCTGAACTTCCTACTTCAGGGAGTTCCTCCGCCCATGGGAATTCAACAGTAAACTCACTGCTCGCTGCTTCTGGTGTGCCTGTTGCCGGTGATGCCCAGTCCCAGCCGTGGCCTTCGTCGAACACCACATCGCGGCTGACACGCACGCGCTGGGACACTGGATCATAGATACGGTATGCCTTGGCCCCTTCCGCATAGCCGATAAACACGCCAGCCTCGCCGCGGTCATCGAGCTTGCGAAGCTGAGTAAGCCGCCGGGTATAAGCCACACAGCCAAAGACCTTGAGGTGGCCGACTGTTGGTGCCTGGCCGTGCCACGCCTCATAAGGAGTGGCATTCTTCAGTGCCTTCATCGGGGATCGATTCAGAATGTGCACAGCCGTCATCACAGCCTCCCCCCAAAACCGAGAGGGCATCTGGCGTTGCTTGAGCAAAGCTCCTGCCATGGCCACCACTTTTGGTTCCTGCGCTCAACAACACCGTTCTGTTGCGGTGAATAAGGGGCACTGAAATGTCGTTTAATACCTTCATCGGTAGCGATGCACGATAAACTCGCATGACGGTGAATTCGCCGCCATTGTCGATGCGCAGGACCTTCAACTTGCACCCACTTTCCACCTCTGCTGCCACCTTGACCTTCTTAATTGCTTCTGCTGCTGCATCCTTGGATGGCAGCAACACAGCCCACATAAAGCGGGTGGCGTCATCGACGAGCAGCAAGATATAACGGTTGCCCGCCGGTGTCGCTGGCGTGACCGGACCGCATAGGTCACCGTGCACCAGCTCAAGGCGATTCGCAGGCGGTATCTGCTCAATGTTGGAAAAAAAAAGAACGCCCGCTTGGTGGTAACGCAGGTGTCACACACCTGCTCAACATGGTCAACCACCGGCATCCCGCGCGCCATCTCCTCCTTGCCGAGTCACCGGAGTGCGTCGAAGAAGTGCGAGATGGCGCGCGCGTAAGCATCGCCACACCTCTTCATCCTTGCGTGCCGCGAGACAGAGAGGTTGTGCAGCCTCAAGATGTAGAATATACAACCTATTCTTCCCTCTGTGTACCTTGGCGAGCAGACGGCGACTCTTGTCCCAAATGCGAAGCACGCCATCGTCAATCACAACCTTGGACCCTCCTTCATCAAGTTGTGTCCCGGACTTAGGATAGAGT